CTGGACTTGTCCTCCAAGGAAAGCCGAACAAATTCTTCACATCGGTGCTCACAATGAGAAAAAAAACTGGTAGTGTGTGTGTGTTCACAAAACATTAAGGCATCACTCAAACTCACAGAAGAAACTGTGGAGGTTATAGAACAAATTGACAGAACGAGGCATTCACCCATTCAGACATTACAAAGGAACTCAAAGGTCAAAAACCTGAATTGCTCCTGGAAGTGCATGATCTCTTGCATGAAACTCCTTTGTTACCTGACCACTGCACAGAGCCAAGAGCAACACCAATTTTTAAATGAGGTACCAGTGGAGTTTTAGAGAACTACAGGTAGGAGGAGTATGTGCAACTGGCAAATACTAGAAGCTTTGATAAAGTCACATTTACCCAGGCATCCATTAATTCTATGTGGAAATTAAGGAAACATGTTTTTTATAAAAGAAAATCCCACTTTACAACACAAGCAGTTCTTCAGGGAAGAATAACTTGTCTTAACTCTACAACTAACCTGAGATTCATGGTTTTCAAGCTCTGCTACAGAAAAGGGCCTCACTCTCAAGAAGACTTTCAAAGGTTGATATGCCTACTCATAAAGAAAAAAGTGTTAATTTGTCACTTTTAAAATAGAACATCCCTAAAATCGTTTATCAGCATACATCTCTCTGATACAGTATTTCCTATCTTACTGCCTCCACTTCTTCCTTGTAAACTTCCTACTACAAGTTGCCATTTGTTTCTTGGCCTCCTGGTGTCCTAAAGTAACCTGTTTTTCATTCAAGCCATCCTGTCTCCCTCCCATTAGGGTTCTTTTGTTTGACCACGCCAGCATTATGGTTTAAAAAGAGCATGTTATTGGAGGATTAAACTGCACTGCTTCCACCTTCTGGTCACGGTGTGCACTGAATTCAAGCTGTATTTTCTAACAGCTGCTCTGCAGTTCTGTACTTCCATTTTGTATGGCGCATGTTCAGTTAATAGATCAACACCTTTTTACCTTCAGACTACTTCATTTTTACCATCCAGTCACTAAACCCTCCCATTCCTCACAGGAATAATCACAGAAAGGTTCCTGGTTACTAAGGTAGGCTTTTCCGTCCTGTTTCCACTACGCAAAGGTCTCCCCATCTAGGGGCAGTGACAAGTGGGAGATTTTTTACAGCTGCCTCAACATTCCTTCCTTTCTCAGAGCTCAGATGTCTCTGCTTCAGCAACTTATTCATTTAGCAGATAGATTTACCAGAGTTCTCCAGAGCCCTGCAGTGACCATCACTGTACTAAACATAGAAAGTAAGTCACCTGAGGGAACTCTGTCAGGAAACCTACTATTCTAAGAAAAAAAAAAATTAAATTATAATCAGAAATGGTTATATTGTCTTCCAAAAGAAGTATGCAGTATTATAGATTTTTATTTCCAAGCATTTAATAGCTTTCAACAAGAACCTATAACCTTTTAGTTTGCTAACCAGAACAATGGGGTTCCAATACATCCAAAAGTGCAAGTACTGAAATTCTTCACCTCCTTCTCAAAAGCCTAAGACAACAGTATTAACCATTTGCTACTGGACGTAATTTATTTGTAAATAATGAGAAATAAACAGAAGAATCAAACATATCATCGAGGCAAGGGAAAAGAGATGGTCTTACTGAAGATGTATTTTCCAGAATCAACATTTAAAAAAAAGGCAGAGTTAGAAGACATATTTCAAAAGCCATCCACACCTCCTGCTCCTCTGTATTAGCCAATACTGTTGACTCCATAGGTGAGGGTTTACCCCTGAAGTCCAGAAAAGAAACCGATTCCAACATATCAGATACTTCTGCAGAGACATAGCTTTTCCCCTCATCATCCATTGCTCTGCAGTGAGGAACTTGTAAGAAAAAAAGGCATATTGTTTTTTTCCAGAGAGCAAGCAAAAATAGACAGAGGCTGAAAGAGGGATCAGGTTAATCTGTATGCAAACAAATACTTCTTAAGAAAATAAGATCTTCATCAGAAGTTTGAGAGTATAAAGGAACCTTCAAGACCAAACAACAGTTGGGATATACTAAGAAACAGACCAGCTGAAGCACACTAACTGCCTCTCAGCTAGGCAGCCTCCTCATCCAGCTGGAAGAGGCAGAGACACAGCCTGTAGCCCCCACTCCCCAAAAGGTGGAACACCACCAGCTGCCAGGAGCTCGGCCCCTTGGGCCTACGGCCAGGCACAGCCCCGGCCCGCACTTGGGCACCGGGCCCAACCCGGCCTCAGCGAGCCGAAGCACCGTCAGCCTGGCAAG